GTGACTCAGATGTGCCATGTATTGTGCTTTCACAGCGGGGTTGGCAAAAGAATGAAGTTCTGTTTGCTTTTCATCAGCATAATATTAGCTTCTAGTCCCGCTGCTGCTAGTTGTGTTTTCATGTCCAAAAATGTAACGGGTAGAGAAGCTTATTTCACATGTTTTATGCTTGTGTTTTCTTTCAGAAGTTATTCGGGTTGGTGCTTTAACAACTAGATAGAATTTGTGTAAAAAGACCTGACAATGAAAAATACTTAGATTGTGAAATTAGTTCTCCTCATGCCCCAGTACAATCTGTGGCATGGACTAGGCTACATTGTGACATTGGTGAAGTCCTTGGCATGTGACCAGCTTCCTTCGTGTGTTCTCTCTTTGCTGGATATCACGTCTCCCGCCACAACTGATTTGTCATAAAGCATGTCCCAGTGCTTAACACGCTTGCCAGACATCTGTCCTCTTTTTTTCTCTTTATTTTTTATTGTGAAACCTCACAGCTAAGGCATAGTTCAACGTGATATTGACAGTTTATTGTAATGCCATTTCAACAGCTGGCATTTTGCGTAGATGCTCGTTTCTGAAGGCACTTACTTGCTTTCTGCCTTCTGCAGGCTTTTCTATCCAGATGTGTGGCAGCAAGAGTGCTGTAATGAAAGATTTGTAACTTGGTTTTCAAGTTGAAGAGTTGCTGTTGCTAATGCCAAACTTTGTTTTAAATGGATGAAAGCATTTGGACCAGTGCCACCAAAGGATATGAACTGACTCGCAGCTACTATTATTTTGCCTCCTGAAACAATGTTTGAATAGGAGGTTATTGGTGTTCTTGTTGGTATTACTGTTTTCACCATGGCTAAGTACTGCTATGACTCGCCCTGCTATCTTCTTAGGAATCTGGGCAGGATTTTGGTGTTGTGTGAACATTTAGTGATTGATTAAAAATTAGATGCTGTTGGTCTTTTCTCTGTATAGCTGCTGAGTTACTAAGAGCCTGTATTGAATCTCTGCTTTTTCACACTATGAGGCTAGTAGATGTGCTATATAAATGCTGCTTTTTGTGTGCGCGTGCGCGTCTGCCTCGTCTGACCCCAGCATTTGTATCGATACATTTGCTTAAGCTTCCATTTACTTGAACTCTGTGTGCTGACACTGATGTCCTGTCACATTTTGGGATGTCACAAAGGTTGCACTGGAAGATGTCAGGTGCTCCTGGAAACCTGTACTTTTTTTTAATGTTGCTTTTTTCCATAGGAAGCTTTTGTAGTCTGTTTATTCCCAAAAGGCTTGATCGCAAAGCAACAGACCTGTGCCCATGTGGAGTTTCGTTGCTGTTTCTAAGCCGTTCAGATCATCTTAGAGTACTGCAGAACAATTGAGGTATCCAAAGCGCATGCACCCATCCCTGCTGCAACAGGCTTCTTGGCAGGGGGTGTGTAACCAAATGGCTCGGCTAATGAGCGATAGTACAGATGTCCCCTTTAGCCCAGGAGTCTTTGGTCGGTGGACCAGATGCAGCCTATAAATTTGATCGGTTTTCACCTGGACTGTATGATATTGCAAAGCATAAAAGGCATAGCTGATCATCAGCACAGAAAAGGTTGTCCCCTCACCAAGGCAGCGGTTCATTACGTTCTCCAGACACCAAAGTTCTGCCCCTTGGCCTTTGGATTATCCTTTATTCTGTTTTAGTTGCTTTTTAGGAGAAACTTTCAAAGGCGAGTATTTGGAGTTAGTTTTGCAGCATTGGAGCTGAAGTCAGTGATGGTATTTGGCTCAGAACACCAACATATGGGATGCGGTGACTCATTACAGCAGAGGAGAGGAACCAAAGCCACTGCGGAGAGGAAGCTTATTCACCCTTAACCGCCTTCTTTGAAGGGGGTGTCACCATGGTATCACAACACTGGGGCATACACAGCACAGTATCTCTTGTCTGCTGCTTAGACACAGGTATCTCCTCCTTACATAAAAATGTGTGGAAAAATAATGAATTGAATAGAATGAGTTTAGAAAATTAGATACATGGTTTTCCCACACTGGCAACCACTCTACTGTAAGTGGGTTGCCACAGCCTCATGTTTCTAACCAGAAAACTTCCTGGAGTCCCATGGTGTTAGTATAAATACATTGAGTAGTTGTTAATCTATAGCTATGAGTTTTAAAATATGACACATCTGTGGCTGGCTGATTGTACATTTTTCCTTTGACGCCATACTCTTACACGGGCTGTGCAGTGACCAGAGGAGCTGCCTCTTGCTTACAGCCCTCAAGGTGCTTCATGGGGATGCTTTGCTTGTCTTTGCTCTCCAGAATGGCCAGTTTTAAGCCCTTATGGCTATTTATGCTTGCCGTGCAAGTACGTTTTTTGTAACGTCGTTGTTTATAACTGGAGATTATGTAAATGCAGAGATGGATGTATAGGAATAGGTAAAACATTAATAGCAGCAAAAAGAAAGTGTGACACGCTAAAATAGTACTACTTGTTAATATATATAGACTCACAGCCTGATAATTCCTTTTTCTGATAACCTTGTTCTGCCTATTGTATTGTGGTTTTACAAAAATTCTCTGTGGTTAACCTAGCCTCACTAACCCTCCTTTCAAATTCTTCATCTCAATAACTTGTCTGTTAGCCTCCTCTTGGACTTCCCTTCTATATCAAAGGAAAGTCACTGTCAAAACCCTTACAAAAGTACCAGTTCTTATAGTTAACACTATATGGCAAAGACCCTGCTCAGGCTTACTTAGTGCAGACTAGAACTCCAGGTATTATCCCAAGATCTGTTTTCATCCAGGCTTTGAATGATCAGGTCTACTTTTAGTGATGCATGTTCAGAAAGGGAGAGATGATATCCTGACTGTTAAGCCCTTCTAAATGAGCAAACCAAAGGGTGGTGTGTCTCCCATATATGCTGCATCTGCCTTTTAACCTCTCAAAGACCTTGCCCAGAGCTGTCAGAGTTAAGATCTATGTTTGTCTAACTCCAAATTCTCCTTAAAAACCAGCACAAAGTTCAGTCTGCTGTTTCTTTCTTTTCATGTCTGCCTCATGGAACAGCTAGAGAGGAAAGGAAATTCTTTGTAAATTCTGCTTATGGGCTTAGAGGTCCCCTGGGGTGCGTTTCTCCTCTTTGAACTTAAGTGCTTCTTATCTACAGGGGAAATCTGACTCAAAGATGTATTATAGCGTTAAAGGGTGTATGCTCTTAATCAAGATACCTGAGCAGCTTCTTGACCAAAAGGCTTCCTGAGCTACTGTGGTCATGTCGAGTTGTTCACTTAATCTTTCTGTGCTGCTCGCTGCCTTGTTTATGAAATAGAAATGCTAATATTTCTTTGGAAGAGTGCTGGGACAGCTGCTCTCTGAGCCAGACTTGCTACTAATTTAAATCAGCGTATTTTTTCTGAGGGTAGTAACACCAGAATCAAATGCTCTGAGGGTCTCTGTGAGCAGTCAAGTAATGCTGTGGAATGTGAACTCTGGTTTCTGCTGCAGGTTGAGCAATTGAGAGGAAAAACACCTCCACAGCTGACTGTGAACGAGAGGCATAGGGCATGCCTCTGAGCTGTGTCCACCCACCTGACAGAGCATGCACGAAGTGCCTTCAGCTCTGCCTGCAGCTTTGTTGTAGAGGCCGAGAGCAGTATGGTTTTACCCAGCTGTAGCTTAGGTCTAGCACAGTGGTGCTGAGCAGGCTGCATTGCTCTCTTTTTTGGGTTTATCTAATTTAGTCTGAATGAGAGTGTGGTTCTGCCTAACCACGTGAAGGCATCCTAGTGGTCTAGGTAAGCATACCTGTACTGGTTTTAGTCTAGCTAGTGTGGGTCTGAGATGCCAGAGACTCACTTTACCTCAAAGTTGTGCATGTCTGTCTGTAAAAGCCTTGCAGAGAAAGGGATGTGTCCTGGCGTTGTTCTGCTGCTCGGACAGGCATCTATCTGCATGTTATCGGTTATTTGTCCTCTGTGCTGAGAGGAGACCACTTAACCTATCGGTTTATACATTTGTGACTGCTCATGCTTGTTCCCAGTGTTCAGGATGCTTTGAGGTTGCTGTTTGTTAGAAGTCTCACTAAGGCTTGCTGACTTTTCCCAGGTGTGAATGATTGTTCCTGCTGGAGCAGGAACACAGTGGCACAGCAGGGAGATTGAAGATCCTTGCTCTTTTCCTTCTGGGCTCCTGGGTGCTAGAAGAGGAGTATTTGTGAGGCAGGCCAAGGGTTATCCACCTGTGTGCAGTGCTGGGGTGGTGATGGAGAGTGATCAGCTCTCCTGCCGTGTGTGCTTGTCCAGCGCACACGTATATTTACGTCCATCCCCTTCTCCCACAGTGTCTCTGTACAAGATTTCTACTGCCAAATACATAACAACCTACTGCTCTCTTGACCCAGAAGAGTCCTGTCACAAGCTGTGACCTCCTTTAACTCAGTAAGGTGGCAGAAAGACTTTTTTATCTGAGTTAATGAATTGACTTGCTGTGCGATGAGTGCCAGTGGGAGAAAAACAAGTTAAGGAGTAAGGAGTGGAGACGATATCATAGTAATTCAGAGGTAGTGCGGTCTTAATTCAGCCTGACCCCACAAAAGCCCCAAAGTGCCAGGGCTGTTCTCTAGCAGGGAGTTGTCACTTGGACTTGAAGAACCCCAGCTCTTGTTCAGACACTCCCTGTTTTAGTGACTTAATAAAAACAGGGATCCTCAGTACAGAAGGGATCTCTGGGCAGTCTCTCCCAACTGATTACCATGTTGTCAGGTTTGTTTGAAGACTGCTTTGGTCAAAAAAACCCCAAAAAAACCCCACAAAAATAACTTTGTGTGGCAGGCTGTGTATGGGAGAGCACATTATCTGAGCTGAACTAAAGTTGAAGTCTCGTTGTTGCCTTTTGACCAAAGAGTTTGTTTGTAAAGGGTAATTACTAAAGCCCTTACACGGCTGGGGGACGGAGGATCGTGCTGTTATTTGTAGATTAGCCCATTAAAAATGTCTCTTAGTATCTTCTGACCCCAGTCTCTTTTCCAGCAAGCACATTTGCTGTGCTTGGCAGTGCCTCTGAAGGCACCATGGCACCAGAGGGTGCACAGCTCGCAGGGAAGAGGGTCTCAACGCTGTGAAGGAGGCTGTAAGAAGAGTCACCATTTTGCAGGGTGAGGTGGATGTGCTGTCACAGAGGAGGGAGGGGAACATCCTTGTTGCTTTATAATCTGTCACAAGAGAACAGCAATGTGACTTTCCGGTTTGAAAAACTTTTCTGACACGACAATTTCTCCATTGCAGTACAAGCGGCCAGAGGCAGGGCTGAAGGGAAAGTTTTATGTTCGGTTCTTCTCCTCTAGATTATGAAATAGTAAAAGCATCTCAGGTTTTGAAATTATTCTGCAATTTCACATCTTCCACCTCCTGTGAGGTGTGAAAAGGGCCATGGGACAAATGTCACTCACAGAGCTGCTGCTGGGGATCAGCTGTGAAAAGTGATGAGCAGCCTGGAGGGAGTTGCAGGTTCCTCTTTATGCTGTCTCGGTGGTGATGGATTTGGGTCTGATGGTGGCCCACAAGGGCTGCTTTAGTTAACTCTCCCTGAGACTCTCCCATTTGGATCCCAGCTTCTCATCTGTGAGCTTTTGACCCTTTTCCTATAGGAGAGAGCTGACTGTATAGAGACCGCTGCTTTGCTGGTCTCTGACTTGCTAGCAGCTGCAGCTGGTTCATGTTTCTCAAACCTGCAATCTTACACATGCTGCAGGACCATTTTGTGGGATCTGATGTGTAATACTGGCTTTCCTGTGTTCACAAAGCAAGGCAACAGCAGATCTGGTAATGGCAATAAGGAGTTGTGTGTTGGGCTGTGGGAGTCAGAGGATCAGGTGGGTTTTTAAATTTCTGATCACCTTGCTTAATGGGCTGCAGGAAACCCAAGGCTGAGCAGAAAGGTAACCACTGTGTTAAAGTAACACTGGTTTCTGAAAATAATTACAAAAAATAGAGTTAATGTTTATATAGTTGTGGTCTCCTTCTCCCTCTGCTTGGTAGGAGACGGTGTGGAAAAATACTACCTAGACAGCCTGGGCCCTGGGGCTCTGGTGCAGGCTCGGTGTATGTTGGCCCCATCCCAGGAAGGGTGAAGAGGTGTGTGGGACCTGGGAACAGCGCCTGCCTTCAGACCTTTCCTGACTCTCTGCTGACTAGTGCCAGAGACGGGATGTGGGACCAAACAGAGGCCTCTAGCAAGGGCCTCCAGAGTTGTATAAGGTGAAAGGAGCTACTGTTCGGTTGGTGGCTGGCAAGAGACCTTAGAGGGTGCTCGTCCGTAGGATTGGTTTCTAGATGGCAAGTCAACAGGCATTTATTAAACATGGAGGAGGGAAAGGAAAAAAAAAATATGCTTGAGAAAACACTGGCCTTTTGAGAAGAAACTGCAGCCCTGAGTACCTGTGTGTGCCCCCAGGCCCTGCTCTTTGCATTTTCCCCATGCTGCTTCCTAACCTGGTGACACTCAACTGAATATTAAGTTTTCTTCCCAATAGTCCCCTCATGAGTGATAACTATGGTTGTAGATCATAAAAAGCCAAAAAAAAAAATATGCTTGAGAAAACACTGGCCTTTTGAGAAGAAACTGCAGCCCTGAGTACCTGTGTGTGCCCCCAGGCCCTGCTCTTTGCATTTTCCCCATGCTGCTTCCTAACCTGGTGACACTCAACTGAATATTAAGTTTTCTTCCCAATAGTCCCCTCATGAGTGATAACTATGGTTGTAGATCATAAAAAGCCCCCTTTTTCCTTTTTTTTTTTTTTTTTTGTGACTTTGGTCTTGAGGAAATGCAACACTTGCCTGGAAACGGTGGGTATTTGTGTACATATATTTGATCTGCCTTAGAGGTAAAGTGATGGGAGGGATCATCTCATCACAGCTGAGGTGATTTTTGGTTATAATGCACAGTCCCTATGCAGTACAAAAAGTAAAGCTTGAATAATGAACAGTGTCTTTTTTTCTTTCTTTCTGTGTTTTTACAGGGGACTGTTGGCTCTTGGCCGCTATTGCCTCTCTCACCCTGAATGAAGAAATTCTGGCCCGTGTTGTTCCCAAAGACCAGAGCTTCCAAGATAAATATGCAGGAATTTTCCATTTCCAGGTAGGTGGAAAACAGCCTTCCCTCCACACAGTGCTGTTTTCCAGGAGCCGGTGTGGCTGGCTATGTCTACATGTGTGGTGTTTCCTGGAACACTTTGAGGGTGAGAGCCAGGCAGAAAAACAGAGATATCCAAGAAAGGTGATGGTGGTGGAAGGAAGAAGACTTCTAACCAAGGAGCTGAGAACAGGGACTGTCTTTGTGGTCCTTCCTCTGTCAGCACATACAGCTGAGGGTGTGCACCCCTGAACAGAGTGGGTGAAGCTGGCTGTGAGGAGGATTGCTGTGCCTCTAGGAAATCGGTGTTAGCAGATGAACGTCCTGGTGACCCAAGTGCACAGCATGGGGGGGTGACAAGGTGTTTGTGCTCTCTTTCCAGTTCTGGCAGTACGGGGAGTGGGTGGATGTCGTGGTGGATGACAGGCTGCCCACCAAGAATGGGGAGCTGCTCTTCGTGCACTCAGCGGAGGGCAGCGAGTTCTGGAGCGCGCTGCTGGAGAAGGCGTACGCCAAGTGAGTTCAGGCCAGGCTTTCACCCTACTCAAATCTGCCAGTGCCTTTGCTTCCCCATAGCATCCTCAACTGTACTGATACTATGCATTTAAAATGTCAGCCTAATTGATTAGCCTTTACAACTTTGGGGTATCCCACAATGGCTGCTTTACTAAAGTTTTGCTGACAGGTGCTTGAGGCAAGTAGCCAAAAGTACCAGATTTGTTGCTAGCCAAGAAAATAGCCCTCCCATCTCATGGCAAGGCTGTTCCTAGAGTGCTGTCTTCAGTCACCGGGGCCTGGGAAGGTCTGTTTCATGTGTTCTGCACACCTTGCAGCTGCAGTGCTTCAGTGTGCAAAGCACACCAGTCCACGTGCCCTGGTCTCTGTTCAAGGTGAAGATGCTCAGATCTGAATTTCAAGTTTTGGAATGGTCAGGGAGGATTTCTGCCATCTAACATTACTATTTTCAATTGAGTTAAGAAATTGAGCTAATTTAGATAAGCTGAAAATCAGACCCATAATTTTCAAAGGGATTGAAAGACTATGTGGAACTAGAGAGGCAAATTGTTGGCTCTTGATATTTTTTTTTAATTATTCTTTTTTTCTTCAAATAGTGATCATGATTTTTGTCATTGATATGACCGAACCTGAAACCTGTATACATGATCGTATAAGATTTTATGCTGGACTTTCCAAGTACAGAGGTCTAACAGGCAAGCTGAATGGGGGGGATGTTCATAGCTGCTGTGGTGCTGTTGAAAGCGGAAATGCTGTGACAGTTGGCACAACTGAGTGCCCCTTTCCAAGAGATGAGGAGAATAGGGAACCACGTGGTTGTGTGTATGAGGAGAGAAAAATGGGGATCCTGACAGTTTTGTGTGTGTCCGCTTTCGTGCAGGCTGAATGGATCTTATGAGTCTCTCTCTGGTGGCACCACCACTGAAGGCTTCGAGGACTTCACTGGTGGAATTGCAGAATGGTATGAGCTGCAGAAGGCACCACCCAGTCTCTTCAAAATCATCCAGAAGGCCCTTCAGAAAGGCTCTCTCCTTGGCTGCTCCATTGATGTGAGTTAGCAGGTTTATTGCTGGACGCTCAGCTCTGGCTGTGCGTGCAGGCAGCTGGGGGACGGACCTGTGCTCCATCCACAGGAGGTGCACAAAGGCTGTTGGTCCCCTCTGCCTATGGTTCTCTGCTCTACCTTGTGCCTGGAGAATTTGACCCAAGAGTGTGACCCAGGCACATGCTCTTGGGGGGTTATGTCTGAGAACAGGTTGAAATATAAACTTTATTAGTTCACATGGAAAAGCTTATTGCCTCCCTTGTTTGTTTTTTTTTTTCTTCAAGACCTGAAGCTTTTGCTGTTTCATAGGTTCATGGTAACAAATATAACCTCCACCGTTGTTCTTAAGAAAGCCCGTAGTTTGGCAGCAGGTTGGTACAGACTGAGTGGGTTTGGACAGAAAGCTGCTGCTAATGGCTCCTGCAGTCAGATGCTCAGAGGTGGCAACCTCCATCTTTGCTGTAGCCTGTTTGTCACACAAATTGTGCCAAAACATTCCCAGAAAATCTGGGCTCTGTTCTTGAAGCAGGAAGGCTCAGACTGTTGCCAGGCCTTTAAAAGGTTTTATGGAGAAGCATGTTGTAAAAAGTTGAACCTGCACAAAAGAAGGAAAAGAGGAGCTTTGGCCCTGCCTGCAAGGACTCAGCATTGCTTTTAGTCTTACTGAAATGAGTCTAAGTATTGTTACTGTGATAATCACCCTACTCCCAAAAGAGATTACATCTTAGTTATGTCTAAAGGGAAGGTAAACTGTTTACAAGAACTCCATTCATAATTAAATTCAAATGTTTCCTCCCATTTTTCAAGTTACATCAGAGTCATAGGAGAGGGAAGCTTCACAGCAGGAACAGTACTTGGTTAATGTCAGCGTGCAACTTTGCAGCACTTTTCGGGGACTGTTTTACTCGTTTGCGTTTAGATAAGAATCTGACACCTGGATTTTTGCCCTGGAATGATACAAATCTCTTGTTGGGGGTGGGAGGGAGTAAATATATTCCATTGTTATTAAGTGCTGACAATTTCTGTATTGTAAACTAATTATTAGTGAGTTTAGCCTTTGAAAACAATTCTGTAAAATCTTTCCTTCTCTTCTGTAAGAGAAATAAAGACACAGAGGTTAAGCATTACATGGAGAGTGCACTGTGGGGCATTAATAGAGTGTGAATTGACAGCAGGTATCCTGTCTGCTTGGTCTCACCCTCTTTTTTTTTTTTTTTTTAAGCTTCAAATATGCTTGTTCAAAGATCAGACACTTTCTGAAATGTAGGAAGGCAGTGACGACCACAGGTTTCATAGAGGGTTCAGCATTACAGCAAGATGTCAAGCAGTCACTTTCTAGCAAGAAGTGACTTTTCTCTGCAGTATTTATAGGCCGTACTGCCCAAGTACTGTAATGGCCACGAGAAAGTGAGAGGGTGGTATGCCTCCAGATACAAATGGTGTCCAAAGTGCAGCCTTTTCCCTTTTTCCCCTGCATGGCAGGTCCTAGGGTGGTGGTGCTGGGGAAAGGAAGGGGAACCTCCCACCCCACTGTGGAGCTGAAGGGGTGTTTTGACCTTGAAGCAAAGCACTGGGGCTTGCTGGAACTGCATGTGATCCCTGGTGATGCCTGGGCAGCCTCAGGCTGGTCACCCCCTGTGTTCCTCCTGGTCCCTTGAGAACATGGAGTTGATCATGCGTATTCGCTTTGTACAGCATTTGGAGATGCACGAGAGGGTATCCATCACACCGAGTGTTTTAGAGCCAGGAGGGAGCCGTGCTGCAGTGCAGGGCTTCTGGCATGCACCTGGTGCCATGAACGTGGGCTCCAGGAACTCCAACACCACCACGTGTGCTGTCTTCCCCTCTTCCCTGCTCTGTTGCACAGATCCCTCTCGTTGCCTCTGTGCAGCAGCTAAATCACCCCTGCAGCCTCCCAGCAAGACGAAAGCTCCGTCAGAGGGGTCAGCTTTGCTTGGTTGGATCCCCTGCGTGTGGGAAGCCATGCTCACTGAGCTTCATTTCTCCTGCAGATCACCAGTGCGGCAGAGACAGAGGCAGTCACTTCGCAGAAGCTGGTGAAGGGACATGCGTACTCAGTCACTGGGGCAGAGGAGGTAGGTGTGCCACCCCAAAGGGGTGAAATGCAGTGAGCTTTGCACGTGACCTGGGCCATGGCAGCCACAAATTGCAAATTCTCCAGTCTCACCCACATTGCCGAATTAGGTTTTGAGTCCCTTCTTTCTGAAGAAATACTGGTGTGTTTTGGATAAATGCTAACTTCACTTCTTGGGAATTTGACCAAAAAAACCCCTCTTTTTCCAAAAGCACTGCTGTTTCCCGGTGAGCAGCGTGGTGGGGAGCTCTGTGCAGAGGTCACACTACCCTCTACCGGTGACTGGCCTCCTCAACACATTTCTCTATAGCAGGCAGCACTGTAGCTTAAACGCACAGCAAGGTGTGCAAGAGATGTGTGCCAAGG